GAATAACAAATGCAAGAAAACATACTTTCTCACTGGTCATTGGGCAATGGGCATGAGAGATGCCTCTGGAGGCTCACACAGAGAGCATAGGGTTGGAACATTTCCTAAATGCCATTACCTACATTCCATTCCAAACTGTCATGCAGCCTAAACCTTTCTGGATATGTCTGTTCCTATAAAGGATCCAGATACATATTTTTAAATACCAAAATAATGGTAATGCACTGATGAGATATCTGTATTCTTAAAATACCCCACGTAGAGGACTTGGCAAACTGGCCCGGCCACCAGCAGGACAGGTCAGGAGGGCAGAACTGACGGGTAGGGTGAGCATCTCCCCAGAGAGGCTGGCTCCCAGCCAGGAAAGAAGGAGCTCTGGGAGGTAAAGTCTGCAGAGCGAGGAAGCAAGGACTGAGAACATGGGCTGAGGGATGCTCAGATTTACAGAGAAGGACATAAGGACATCAAACAAAGATGCCATGGACACAGCCCAAGAGGAAGATGCGGGACAGGCAGTTTCCAGAAGGGGAGTAACTTCCAGAGGGCCTAAGGGAGAAGAGCAAAAAAGTGTCACTGTGCTTGGCATTCCAAGGGCTGAGACTGGTCCTGATTCACTGCCTCTCTAAGCAATATCACAGGCCACTTTGGTGGGTCTTTTCATACAGGAAGCTCCTTACTCTTTGCACCCAAGCATTACTATGCTTCCTTTAAAGAGAAGGAAACTGAGTAGCAGAGAAACTGTTTCAGAGCTCATCTGGGGCCTGCAAAAGGCAGTCATGGGACAGTGGGTACCTTCTAGAAGAGGACTAAAAGTAGCAGGCAGGAACAGGAAGCCTCCCCCACACACCCCTGGAACTGGGACTCCAGAAAAAGACGTCTCTGAGGTGACTGCCTCCAGGATTCTCCAAACACTCTGTCATGAAGCTGGGCAAAATCCGCCAGGCACTACAGCCCTCCCTGGTAAGGGCTTCCTCTGTAGTGATTTTGGCCCAACGGGCAGGGGCATGTGTGTGTGGCCAGCTGCCCCCATGGAATCCCAGGGGCTTGAAACACAGTAAACATCACCCACGATGGTGTCAGAGAATAAGGCCCCGGCCTGCCCTCCTTCAGCTGCAGCTCAAACAGGATCCCAGATAATGTCCCACAGGTTCTGCCTCATCGGATGCCAGTCAGGCCTTTCCCGTCTCCCCACTTCCCCATCCGTGCCAACTTCGAACCCCAGCCTTTGCACGTCCCTGGCCCCTCCCAGAAACCCAAGTTGTCCCACAGGGGGGCTGTCTGGAGTTCTTGGCGCCCTGCAGTTTTGTGGGCCACCACATCCCAGGGAGGGACAAGCATGGTGGAGGCGAATCCCGTGTCACTTTCAGGGCCTCCTTGCCCGTGCCTGACCCCTGACCCCAGTGACTCAAACACTGGCTGGGACATGGTGGCAAAGTCACTCAGGACAGCCTCACAGCCACCACCAGTACCTTCTGGTGCAACCGCCACCCAAGGACTTCAGTCCTGGGGAAAGAGCCAGCCCCACCCTCGTCCTCCACTCTACCCCGATTCTTTCACAGTGAGTCACCAACGCATCACAGAAGGGTGCATGGCTGCACCCCAGGTCCACCCAGCAGGGGGAGAGGCCTCCTGGTGCAAGCTCTGCCCCGACAGCTCCTCCCTGCTGCTCCTCTCAGCCCTGGTGGGGGGGAATGTTATGCGGGGGGGGGGGGGGGGGGGCCTCTGGCTTTTTTCTGGTTTACATAGGAAGGCTTGTAATAATATTTGGATTAAAAAATTAAAAGAGGGTCCTATCACTTTGAAAAGTTAGAAAAGCAGAGTTTCAGACTAAATGGGCAAATCGAAGTATAGGACTTGGCTACCAACTCCCGCTTGGTATGGAACACATGCCTGCTTTCCTTGGGAATACCGGGTTCCTCTCAGCGGCACCTCACAGCGGCAGAGACCATTCACAGACATCTGCCCAGGCACGCAGTCTGGGTCTGACTCCGACACACCAGACTCCCCACTTCCCCTGTCAGGCTGGTGGGGCTAGCCATTATGGCCTTGTCCTTCACACCCTCCAGCCTGGGCCACTTCCTCAACAAGTGCTCCTTCTCATTCCTCATGTGTTAAGCAGTCCATGAGGCCCTGCACACAGCTCAGGTCCAGTTCCCTAAAAGGGACAGAAAAGGTGGCAGAGAGGGCAGAAGGGACATCCCTCCCCCCCCAGTGGCAGAGCACCCCCCCCCCCACCTAGTCAACAACATGTGTCTGGCTGGGTGATTCTGGGGATGAGCTTTTACCCCCAAACTTTTCTTTGGAGAATATTCAAAGCTACACACAGGCTGAGAAAATAGTTCAAAGTACCATTATCACAAGTAAGAAAAGTTAACAGTTATTCAGTAATATCGAATACGTGGTTCAGATTCAAAACCGTGTAATTATCCCAATATGACTTCAACTGATTTTTTTTTGATCCCGGATCTAACCAAGGTTCACTCATTATATTTGACATTAACTCTCTTTAGTCTCCTTTTGGCCAGCTGTTTTTGCAGAATGTCCTACATGTGGGCTTTCTTTGTTTCCTTATTTTTCGATGTAGCTGAACAAGTCTGGCATGAGTATCTCATAGGGGATACCGTCCACTCCTTGACTACGTCACGGCGGAAGCCCACCGATCAGGCTGCCTCCTTCCTGGGAAAGCTAGATGGGAGCTTTGGCTGAAATGCTGGCTACCAGATGGCACCATTTTGCCTACGGAGCCAGGAGGTAACCTATGAGGGGATATTCTGGGAGCATGTGAAAATACTGTCCCACAGCCACCCCCACCAGCTAGCCTTGGCATCCACTGGTGAACTGACCCGTGGGTTACTAAAGAGAGATTCTCCAAATTTATCAGCCGAAGTTCTATAAAACAGCTTGCCCTTTTTAAATCTCTGATGATTATTATACACTCATGAATCTTTTTTTAAATTATGCAATGTGTCCGAACATATTCCTGTCATTACTTTTTGATATTCACATTATTCCAATTTTGCCAGTGCAGTGCGACCCCCTTCAAACTGGCTTCTGGGTCCTTTGCTATGACCCCCGCTGTGTGAGTGTCCACCTTGTTCTCCGGCATGGGATGTCACAGGCTCGCTCTGGACTCACCTTGCTCCCACCTGGAGCCATTTTTTGGGACTCATTCTTTCTCTTTAAGCAGATAAGTTATGTCACTTACTCACAGCCTGGTTCTAGTCCTAACCTCATTCTCCCTGCCTGCTTCCTCCTTCCCCTGTCACTCATCATTTGAATTAGTACAAAGAGCTCTGTCCTTAGTAGAAAATGGGAAGAAGAAGGGCACAAGAGAAGGAGGGGAGAGACAAAGACCAACAGTAAATTTAAGGATTTTATCAACCATGTACCACTCAAAGAGGAGCTTCCTTTTTTACAGGGGGCTGCACTCGTGGTCACCTCCATAGGAAGGCTTGTCACTGTCTCATGATTCTACTTATAAAACTTCTATGACCGTGTATCATTTTATTGTTTTATGCTTACACAAAATATATATACAGGAAAAATTACCACCTACCCCCCAACGCACTTGTCCCCTTCACTTGCTTTGTCTCCAACAGCACTCATTACCCTCCAAATTCTATAAAATATGATTTTTTAGGGGCACTTAGGTGGCTCAGTCAGTTAAGCGTCTGCCTTCAACTCTGGTCACGCTCCCACAGTCTTGGGATCGAGCCCCATATTGGGCTCCTTGCTTAGCAGGGAGCAAGAAGCTTTTCCCTCTGCCTCTGCCCTTCCCCCGCTTGTGCTTTCTCTCACTCTGTCAAATAAATAAAATCTTTTCTAAAAAATAAATTAAAATATGATTATTTAATTCTCCTTCTCCCCCTGACTAGGAGGTAAGTTCCGTGAGTGACAGGCACTTCTTGCTCACTGCTCTGTTCGCTACTGTACCGTAGGTACGGTGTAGCAACAGCACACTCCGCTCATACACATAGTGCCTGGAATCCGGGAGGTGTCCCGTAACCATCTGCGAATGAGAAAAATGGCCTGCCTGGGACAAGAGGCCTAGAGATGAGAGGCGCCTGGGTGGCTCAGTGGGTTAAAGCCTCTGCCTTCAGCTCAGGTCATGATCCCAGGGGTCCTGGGATTGAGTCCCACATCGGGCTCTCTGCCTGGCAGGGAGCCTGCTTCCCCCTCTCTCTCTGCCTGCCTCTCTGCCTACTTGTGATCTCTGTCTGTCAAATGAATAAATAAAATCTTTAAAAAAAAAAAAAAAAAGAGGCCTAAAGGCAAGCGGCACCTCCTACGAAGCCTTTGGGCCTCTGCTTCGGTGTCACCCCCGGCAGTCAGCTGTTCCATTCCCCGTGTTCCCAGAGCCCTCCTTGCCCTTCCGGATCCAAACACTTGAACTAGCACGTCTACACTGCTCATTGGTCTGTCTCACCTGAAGAACTTCGAGCTCCTCTAAGACAAGGACAAGGTCAGACTTATCTTCACAGCCCAGTGCTTAGCACAGAAATCTCTGCTGACCTCCTCTGCCCTCCAGCCAAGTGCCCTTGCCCCGTGCCCAGGCTGCCCGCCGGGCCCAGCCTCTCCCAGCGGCCTTCGCTGTGAGCCGGGCTTCCGCCTCCAGCTGCTGAGAAAGGCTCGGCTGCGGGCAGCTCACAAAGGGCCCTTTGACTCCACGGGACTGGGCTTTTTCAGGACAAACTCGTTCCCTGCCACGGCACCCGTCACCAAGCCCAGCGTCCCGACAGCTTCGAGGCCTCCCAGAGCCAGCGTTCACCAAGAAACAAGAGCAGGGGCAGGAGGCTGGCAGGGCCAGTCAGGCAGGGCGGGATGACGTCTGGGAAGATGGAAGATGGGGTGGCAAGGTCGAGAGGGCCTTTTCATCAGCAGAGTCGCTGACATTCAGACTCTGTGAATAGCCTGGATGGAGGGCGGGCGGGGGCCAGGGTTAAAATAAAAGGAGTGCAAAGATGAGAACTTGTCAGAGCTTTGCCTCAGAGACAGCTTACTTGTTCTTTTCTTTCAGTCTTCTTTTCACCGGGCTCTGAGGCCGGACTCTCGGGGGGGACGGTCAGCCGCAGTCTGCAGACATTCGCCTAAGAGAGACGCAGAGGAGAAGCCAGTTATGAACCTGCCTTTGAGGCAGAAATTGCTGAGTGACCTTGTGCTTCCCAGAGCCTGTTCCCCTTGCTGAGCAAGGAGGTGATGTCACCAACCCCACAGGAGAACCTGAGTCTAAGACCAGCCTTTGCCTGGCCCATATGGGGCACTCACCACCCTGATCCTCAAAACAAGGACATTACCAAGTAATTTCATTGCATTCAAACATTTTTTTAAAGATTTTATTTATTTATTTGACAGGTGGAGACATTGCGAGAGAGAGGACACAAGCAGGTGGAGTGGAGAGGGAGAAGCAGGCTTCCCGCTGAGCAGGGAGCCCCATGCAGTACTCAATCCCAGGACTTTGGTTCATGACCTGAGCTGAAGGCAGACACCTAATGACTGAGCCATCAAGGTTCCCCTCAAACATTTTTTTTTTGAAAGGCTCAGGTTCCGTAACAACACGTACAGAATGGTCATAGGTCACATGCAAAGGTCAAAACACGCACCGGGTGTCTGGGCTGTAAAGGTGCTTTCTCCGGGGCTCCTGTCAGATCCTTCTCCAACAGACATAAATATGCCTAAGCACAAAGTTTTTAAAAGTCCGTACCCTCGTGTTCATAGCAGCATTAGGCACAACAGCCCAAAGGTGGAAACAACACCAACGTCCATCAGTGGCTGAACGGATAAATAAACCGTGGTATCTACGTAGAATGGAATGTTATCTGGCCTTAAAAAGGAAGGAAATTCTCACACACTGTAACATGGATGAATCTTAAGGACATTATGGTTCATGAAAGAAGCCAATCATACAAAGACCAATATCGTAGGACTCCACATATCTGAGCTACCTCAAATAGTCAAATGCACGGGGACAGAGAGCAGGATGGTAATTGCTACGGGTTGGGGACACAGAGGAATGGAGAGTTATTATTCAACGCATATGGAGTTTCAGTCTGAGAAGATACAAACGTTCTGCAGATGAATGGTGGCGATGTCTGCCCAACAAGACTGTACTTAATGCCGCGTATTAAGTACGCAGGATCAGGCCACTGAAAAAGCCCAAAAAGGGTCCCAGCAGCATGCAGAGTACCCAGCCCACAACCATGTGGGCCTGGCTCATGGGAGTGCTGCTTGTCCCTGTTATAGACCGCATTGTGTCCCCCCAAAATTCCTGTGTTGGAGCCTTACCTCCAGTAACTCAGAATGTGACCCTACTCGGAAACAGGCTCTTTACAGAGGTTATCCAGTTGAAATGAGGTCATTAGGGGTGGCCTAATTCAAAATGACTAATATCCTTATAAAAAGGGGAATCTGAAGAAAGACACACATGTAGGAAGACCACCACCACGGGAACATGCTAGAGAGAGAAGCCTGGAACGGCTCCCTCCCATACAGCCCTCAAAGGAGCCAACCCTGTCAACACCTTGATTTTCGACTTCCAGCTCCAAAACTATGGGATAATAGATGTCTGTTTGAGCCCCGTGGTTGGCAGTACTTCTTACAGCAGCACTCGCAGATTAATAGAGCCCCAACCGTGTTTGCAGGGTCTCGGGTCTGCACGGGTCCAGAGGGAGGCCTCTGAGCAGAACTACCCTGCAGGCTAGACACCCAGAATGGGATGGGACTGTGAGGATCTTTGCCAGCCTAGAAAGGAACCCCCACATGCACCCATGTACCTGGCAGGGGGATGCTGAGACTAAGGATAGCATTTTCCATCTGCAGGTAAGAGCGCCCACGTGGGACATGTGTTAGCACTTCCATATACACTGTCACCTCCCTTCAAGACATCCCATTTTGCTCCCCGGTGTCGCCAACTTCCTGATGATGAACTGCATCTTCCCATAGAACTCCTATCTAAGAGATCCGGGGTTGCCCTCAGAGATGGCAACAGAATTCCCTTTCCTTTACACTGGCCTCCTTCCCTCTGAACCTCTTCTCCTCTGGATTTAAAAACCCTAGCTCCTTCAACTAAATGACTTGGTTTCATAATTATTCTCCATCCTCACTCTCCGCTGGGCAAGCTGCATCCCCCAGGGACCCCAAAGCGCTCACCGCCCCTGATGTGGCCAACTTTGCACTGAACCCTTCGAAACTCACTGCTAGTCTTGTTGGCCAGGGACAAACCACCCATTCCAGCCAGGAGGCAGTTCTCTTCACTGACAGCCAAGAGCACAGACGGGGAATTAGGTTTCCTCCAGGGGAAGGCAAACCCCTGACTTGGGGCCACCTGGACTGGTCGAAATGAGCTGGCATTTGCACAAACACCAAAGTGGGACTCACAGCAGGTAGGCAACCCAAGTCTGTGACGGTCAATAATCTTCTGTGATAGGCTGATCTAATCCACAGCACCGTTTTGCAGAGAAAAGGAAGTGCTCTCCTCCTGCACCCCACTCCAGACGCACACGTGTGTACACATACACATGGGTTAATACACGCACACGCTTGCACAAGTGCCCACACCTACAGGTATCAATGCCTCCTGGCTGGGCTGGCTATCTATGGGCAAGCTCTTCAATCTCTTTGAATCTCAAGTGTAAATGCAGATAAAAGGAAAATTGCTACATAGGAAGCCTCTATTGGTATGAGATATTTGTATTATTATCTAGATGCAACCATCATCCTGTAAGTTCCAAAAAGAAACAGTCTCATTTGGCTTTACGGTTCTGTCTTTCATGAAACAACGATTTGGTCATGGATCTACTGTAAGTGATACCTTTTTGGAGGGTGATTGGTCCCTAATGTAACTTTCAGAATAAAGACTGAAGAGGGCACAAAGCCCAGAAGGGACTCCACTGGTCCAATCACCCAAAAGTGTACTGTTTCCCTCCCCTGTGTGAGACAATTCTTGATCTGTCCACCCAGAACCCTGCTATACCTCAGCATACTTCCCACAGCACTCAACACTGAGTCAGGTGTACCCTGGGGGATGACAAAGCCCTACAAGAAATAGAACCTATTTCCCTTAAGCCATCAGTTTTCCCTGGTGAGAGATAATGAACGAACCTAAAAGGAACCTGTAAAATCACACATTTGACTTCAAAGCTATCTGGCAATGGTAGTGGGTTCTTGAGGTCAGAGCCAGCCCCTGTGTTCAATGTTTACTCTTGTCCTTAGAGGTGCTGTAAGGCACGGGCTACACGTGGGGCCAGCACTCTCTCATCAGTACTGACCCGCTGACGGACGGACTGCACAGACACAGTGGAAACCCAGCATGGAAGAAAATCAAACGCCTTCCTAAGATGGTCAAATGTGTTGTCATGTGGGAAAAAAAAAAAAGGAAATTACAGGGAAAATGTGAATAATCATCCCATTTTTGTTTTTTAAATACACTCTGATAATTTGCATAGATTTATGGAAAAAAAAAAATCTTGAAGGAAACACAACCAATGGATGGTGGTGATGGTTGTCCCTGTAAAGTGGGATTCCCACATTGAGTCCAACTCTTCCAAGTAGGTGTAAATTTTTTAATTAAAAATAATAGCAGTGATAGCAATAATAAAGATTGAGAGACACTGTATCTAGAAAAGAGAGAGACAGATCAAGCTTTCCTAGATCCACAGGAGTGCCTCATGAGCATCAAAGAGAACCACCCAGAGGTCTAGAAAATATCCTGAATTCCTCAACAGAAGCACTAAGTAACCTTTGAAGGAACTCACTAGGTTGACCTGGTGTAGTTTACCTCCCTTTATTCATTCACTTTCAGGCAATCTCCTCATGGGAAAATTCCCCCCTGAGTAAGATCAACGTAGGGTTGCTTATCTCCCTTAGCATTTTATGATGCTGATCTTTATGGTTTCCTTAAACTCTGATATATGATCCCCAGAGCAGCCGAGGCTGGGCAGTACCTGAGAAGGGCAGGGTCCTTTATTCCCAGGACTCCCACAGTAGCTGGCTCAGCCCTATGTTCTGAACAATGCGAAGAACTAAATCTTTCTTACCCTGAACACCACAGCTACTGGATTAGTTGTCCCTACAAGCAATGGTCTGTTGCGGTGAATCAAAAGCAGGAAGGTGGACTCAGTATATTTCATCATTAGGTTATGGAACACCCACTTCTTATAAAATACTATTAAGGGCAATGAGAGTACCAAGATGAAAAAGAAACAGCCATGTTCCCAAGAGCTCAGCATCCAAAAACACACCCAAACAAGGCACATAGGAACACTTAACATTACCAGTAAAGGTCCTGAGAGGCAGGGGAACCTGGTGGTTAAGGCTTGGTGGAATTGCACTTCCTTACAAAGGAGTAGGAATATAAAAGGAACAACGGTCTTAATCGGAGGTGGGAGTATATCAAAAGCTCCTAGAGAGGACATCTGAGCTGGGTATAGAAAGACAGGAAGGACTTTGTGGTTCATTGAGGTTTGGAGAATCCATCATCACAAAAGCAAACAACTATGAGGCAAGGCATTCGCTCCAGGCCAAAGGCACAGATGTGAGAATGTTCTGAGAACATTAAGCGGGTCTCCAAGCTACACTAGAGTGGGGAAGGAAAACAGATAGGTAAGGGCCAAACTCTAACAAGCTAAAAAAAAGGCCTGATGGAGAAGCAAGGTCTCTAGTAGAAGACAATCAGGAGTCATTCACCTCTTTGCAGGAAGGGACTAACACTCAAATCTGAGTTAAGTGATCCAACAGCAGTTACTGGGTGCCTCCTATTACAGTCCATGCATTGCAACATGGATGGAAGGGGGGGCTGGGAAATAGGGAAGAGATCACGCAAGCTTTATGCTTAATTGCTTTTGTCACCCTTTGGGCTTAGTATAGTATCAACACATAATAGGCACTTACTCAGTAAATTACATGTCAGTAGGTGTTTCTTTTTTAGGTTGAAGTAAAACGCCGTAAGGCGAATATATCTGAAACTCCCCAGAGCGCCTTCTACTTTCTTCAAACCAAACCCCCCTGGGAGGGACATCAAGGGAGACACAGATACTATTCAAGCCTCCTCCACAAGAATCACACAACCAAGCCCTTGTCTGCAACTCAGGGC